GTGCCGCGCCGAGCTCTGCCACGCTGAGCCACGCCGTGCCGTGCTAAGCCACACACCATGGCGTGTGACACCGTGCCACGCTGCGCCATGCCGTGCCACGCCACGCAGCACCAAGCTCTGCCACGCCGTGCCGTGCTGTGCCAAACTGTGCCGTGCCATGCTGAGCCATGCCGTGCCACGCCGTGCCGTGCTGTGCCAAACCGTGTCATGCCATGCTGTGCCATGCTGTGCCACACCACGATGAGCCATGCCCTGCCATGCTGAGCCATGCCGTGCCATGCTGTGCCGTGCTGTGCCAAACCGTGCCATGCCATGCTGTGCCACACCATGCTGCGCCGTGCCATGCCGTGCCATGCTGTGCCATGCCATGCTGCACCACATCACGCCATGCTACGCTGTGCTGAGCCGTGCTGTGCTGTGCCATGCTGTGCCATGCTGTGCCACACCACGCTGAGCGGTGCCGTACCATGCCGTGCCATGCCGTGCCATGCCACGCCACGCTGCACCACATCACACCATGCTGTGCTGTGCTGAGCCGTGCCATGCCGTACCATGCTGTGCTGTGCCATGCTGTGCCACACCACGCTGAGCTGTGCCGTGCCGTGCTGCGCCGTGCCGTGCCATGCCATGCCATGCCACGCTGCACCACATCACACCATGCTGCGCTATGCTGAGCCGTGCCATGCCGCACCGTGCTGTGCTGTGCCATGCCATGCTGTGCTGTGCCGTGCTGTGCCATGCTGTGCTGAGCTGTGCCGTGCTGCACCGTGCCGTGCCAAGCTGTGCCATGCCATGCTGCACCACATCATGCCATGCTACGCTGTGCTGAGCCGTGCCGTGCCGTACCACGCTGTGCTGTGCCATGCCATGTCATGCCATGCTGTGCTGCGCTGAGCCATGCCGTGCTGCACCGCGCTATGCCGTGCCAAGCCATGATGAGCCGTGCTGCACCGTGCCGTGCTGAGCTATGCCGTGCTGCGCTGTGCCGTGCTGTGCCATGCCAAGCTGCGCTGTGCCATGCTGCACCACATCACGCTGTGCTGTGCTGTGCTGAGCCATGCTGTGCTGGCGCACACTGAGCTGTGCTGAGCTGTGCCATGCCAAACCGTGCCGTGCCGTGCCAAGCTGCGCCATGCCACGCTGCACCACATCACACCATGCTGCGCTGTGCTGTGCTGCGCCATGCTGTGCCACACCATGCTGAGCTGTGCCATGCCAAGCCATGCTGTGCCATGCCGTGCCACGCTGCACCACATCATGCCATGCTGCACTGTGCTGTGCCATGCTGTGCCACACCATGCCGAGCTGTGCCGCGCCAAGCCATGCCATGCCACACTGCACCACATCACACCATGCTGCACTGTGCTGAGCCGTGCCATGCCGTACCACGCTGTGCCATGCCATGCCACGCTGTGCTGCACCACGCTGTGCCATGCTGTGCCACACCATGCTGAGCTGTGCTGCGCCGTGCCGTGCCAATCCGTGCCACGCTGCACCACGTCACGCCATGTTGCACTGTGCTGAGCCATGCCGTGCCGCACCACGCTGTGCTGTGCCACGCCATGCCGTGCCCTGCTGTGGCATGCTATGCTGTGCTGTGCCATGCCGTGCCATGCCATGCCGTGCTGTGCCATGCCGTGCCATGCCCTGTGGCACAGGCCGTGCCTGCTGACCCCCTCTCCCCGCAGGACCAAGGCCTGGACCTCAAGCGGCTCACTGGCGC